AAAAAATTTCTTTTTTGTTTTCCTTTCTGCTTTTATTACTTCCAGTTGAAATTTTTAATCAGAATTTATAGCAGTGGCAAAGACTCTACCTTCAAGTTTAACTTTTTTATTTCTCACAATCATCACAACGTCTTAAACTACATTAAATTCTTTCCATAATTAATAATCAACTCAATTTTTATACAGCAGTAGTGTGTTTCTTTAAAGCTGGTGAAAAAATTAAAAAAAACTATTCTCAATAAGATTATAAGCAAAAATTTTCATTTTTTATCATAAGATAAACAAAAAATTTTGGTCAACGGCACTAACAATCCTAATTTACCTGATTATCTTCAAAAATTTAGCGAAAAAAGAAAAGCAAAAACAAAATTACTTGTTCATTTTGGTTGTTTATTTCATTTAACTAATTTTCTTATATTTTATTTGAAATTTTGAAAAGCGTATCCCTTCCTTCTTTTCAGGTTCTCTTATTTGATATAAGCAAAACACTAAATAATTTCAATAAAAAACTAACTATTTTCTAAATCTCTTCTTATAACAGATTATTTTTCACTTTAAAGAAAAAACGACGAAAATTTGATGTCTTAATTCTTAAAACTTCAGCTGCTACGAGACAGAAGAGAGTTGAGGTGAAAGTTGGGTGAGGAAGGACGATCAGAGTATCAATGCAGACAAATTCGGGGACGGATAGGGGGGCAGTAACATATGGCGGTTGAGGCGGTAAAATGACTAGGACCGAACTAACCACAAAAAGAATATTATTGATCAAAGTAGTACGAAGGAATAAGAATGAAGTATTTTCTGGCATTAAGTGCCATAATAGAGAGGCGATAACAAGATTGAGTTGTTTTATAATATTTGCGTTTTTTATGCCATCCTTTTTTTGGCTCTGCTGTTCTTGAAAGAGAAACTATGCTTAAACTGATTTATTGTTGCTGCAAATTCTACGGGGGCAAAGGCTGTAGAGTGGAAAACTGAAAAAAAAAGTGACAAGAGCTATTTTTTACTCTATTTATTTATTCATCTACTTTTTTCTGTTTCCTTTTCCTCTCTCAGACATTTTCGCCGACAACTTTTATTCCCCTTTTTCCTTTCCGCAACCCTTACCATCTCCAACCCTTTCCCGTCTTAATACTCGCTTTCCTTCCCCTTTATAGTTATCATGACATCTTCCAACCATTCTCCTTCGTCCCTTCATCGCCTCTTACTCAAAATTGTACCATCTCCATGTTTATTCAATTTTCTTACTTTTGTTTCCCATCCCCTCCCTCCCACCCGTCTCTCTCTTCCTCTCCCACAGCTGCTCAATCTCGGCAGACTGCTATTTGAAGACAACTTATTCTTGCAATGACATATGAGAAATTGCTCCCTTTGCTGCTTTATTCAAAGCTGTTGAGTTGTTTTTAAAAACCGTCAATGTTAGCCTTTTTATCAGTTTTTAATAACCACATCGCTCAAAAAAATTCTTTTGACCACAACTCATCTGCAGTCTCCGACACCCACGCTGTCATAACCAAAAACTTGGTTGTTAACCAAAGTCCAATAATGTTATTTATAAGGAAAGGTTCTTCGCTAATCGCTATCACCTCAGATAAAAAGCAAATAAAAACTGTTAATGATAAAGACTGCTGAAAAAGTGGTGAAGACCTGCCTAAGTCTCAGTGTTTCAGCAAAATTTTAATAAGTTCTTATTGTTGAATACTTACTAAGATAACAGATTTTTTTTTTTCCCCCACTTCTGAAACACTTTTTTGCTCTAAAAATTGAATCAAAATTAGGTTTCTTTTTTTACTTCAAACGCAGAAAACCTTCTCTGAATAGTTTCTGGAGCATTCCGTTTTGTCGCCGTGAAAGAAAAAAAAAAGATGTAGATACCATTAGTATTTACAAATATATTAATATCAAATTTTTCAATATAAAAAGCAACAAACTGCTTGGGAAAAAAAAGTTGATTAGATCTGACAACAAAAATAAGAAAAAAAATAAACATTATAAGATCAAAACAGCGATAAAAATTTTTTTTCAAACTGATAAACATCCAAAAATTATACATATATATAGAAAAAAAAACTTACGTTGAATTTCGGCAAATAAGTGCTCGGCTTATATCGCAAATTTGATTATCACCACCGCAGGTTGATGATGTCAATAGCACATCGTTCTGCGCACCAATTGAATAAAATGATAGCCAAATGACCATCAGGAACCAAATTTGGAAATTAAGCATCGAACAGTTCGATAAAACGATCAACAGATATGAAGACCATTAAAAATTTGTTCAACGAACAAACTGTTTTCAGCAACAAATTTTTTATCCAAAAGCCAGAATAGTTGAACATTCAAGATGCGCCTTTGAGATCATCCAACTAAATTTATTGCTGTTGATAAAACA